AAAAAAAAAATTACCAAAAAAAAATGACATTAATTTTTGCTATCGAAGAGGGTCAATCTTAGTGAGGATTAAGGTTCACATGACATGGTTGATGTAAGAACTGAGTATATATATGTGGCGAATGCAGCTCAAGAAAATCTTTCCTTCGGTATACCTACCTACGCATAGAGTNTTACCTTTATATGAGTCATATACTGTCAGGATTAATCTCCAATGTTCCCAATTCCTGCATCTTTTAATACCATTTGTTATACNTCTGTAAACCTAATTCAAGCTGGAATTGAAGAGCCCTCTCATGAGAAAAATATATTGGCATGGCACACCGTACTTCTTAATGTACAACATAAACATAAGAGAAGGTAGATGCAATTTTCTTAGAAACGAAGAGCCATATACCAATGTACAACATGAACAAAACAGAAAATGTTCATAACTCAAAAAGAAAATTTGAATTGACAGATTTGGAAGCACTTAACTTTAATGTGAAATGAGGATACGATCAAAAGGATGAAAGCAAGAGCCAAAACAAAGAAAGCAGAGTCTCTTGGTTGTAGCCAATGATACAGGAATTGATATAGTGATATATACAACATCAAAAGGTTATTTTCTCTAATTGCAATTCGACATTTGATGTTGTTTCATAATGTCTTAACCAGCCTCACAAGCCCCCAAACCAGAGCCACTACCTAAATGCTTGTACTCCTTAGCTTCAAGATGATCATCGTGCTCAGCAAAACCCGTGCTTCCTTTCTTTAACGCAACCAAGTTCTTGTTCTTGCAAGGTTTTCACACAAGACAGACTTTGTCGACACGCATAAAATTTTCACCACACTTCTTGCAGAAAACATGCCCACATGAGCTAAGTGCCACAAGGAACCAAAGAAGATAAAAAATTCCAGAAAAGAAAAGTGACCAAAGAAGATAAAATTACCTGTGACCCAATTGAGCTAGGAATAATGTCGTCTACACGTTTAAGACCACCGATGAGAGCAATTTTTGATTTCTCAAATTTTAAAAGAACAGTATCTCCCGTAATGGCCTGTTTAAATTGG